AAAGACAAAGATTAAAAAAGTCTTTGACAGAGTAAATTGTGTGTCCGGACCATAGATCACCTTAGATCAAGGGATTTTGAAAATTATTTGGCACAAATGTTAAAAACAATAAGACAATGTGTCACGTGCAAAAACCAGTCACATAACTTAAAGTTCAAGGTCACAGTTCGAGGTCAAAGATAAAATGTTATAGGGTGTATTTTGTTTCCACTGTTTAACTTTCACATCCATCAAGAGGTTTTTGAAGATACTTGGCATAAAATGTTACAATAATAAGACGATGTGTCATGTACAACACCCGAACACCTATCTCTAAGGCCAAGGCCACACCTAGAGGCCAAAGCTTAACATGGTCTATAAGGGTATATTTTGTGTGCAGTTCATAATTTTTTTATTGCTTAAGAGATTTTGAAATTACTTAGCAAAAATGTTGTCTATAATAGGACCACGTGTCATATGGAACAGCCAGAAATCCTACATTTAATGTCAAGGTCACACTTGAGTGGCGAAGCTTAACATGGTCCATTTGTGGGTGTATTTTGTGTACGGTATATAACTTTTTCATCAATCAAGAGATTTTAAAATAACTTGGCACAAATGGCCCAAATGTTAACAATAATAAACCAACATGTCAAGCGCTGCACCTATACATCAAAGGTCAAGGTCAGACTTGGGGGTTAAAGCCTTAAATAGTCTGTTACAGGGTATGATGCCAAGTCAGGTCCACGCAAATTAAATGTTATTGTTGAAATTCCCACATACCTTTTGTATATGTCACATTTGCGGCTTTTAGATAACAAGTATACATATGTATTTTTATTGACACATACACAGGAGTTATTTCATTATATTTTTTATCGAATTTATTGTTACTTTCATGTGCAGAACTAACATTTTGCAGTTAAAGTCAAGATCCGTACCTATATGTTTTGAAAAAGCACAATTTTGTGCCCCATGAAAAATTTCCCTAAGGCGAGGGACGTTGGTTACTATGTAACAATTCTTGTTCTTTTAAAATCTCTAAACGAGTATACATATTTTGGTCCAGATTAGCTAAAAGTAATTTTTTTCATTTGTTGAAATTTAAACTTAATCGAACATTTATGTTTTTTAAACAATAGTAGTCATAGCATGTTCAACTTTAATAAATTTTCAAGAGTTGGTAACACTTTTGTAACACTTAGAATCATGCCATTATATACATCTAGTTCGCAAACGTTAATCATTGTAACATAGATTCTTCATTAGTATGGTGTAAATCTTTCTTACATAGAATATTATCATGACACAAAAATGAAGTATTATTTGAAGTTTCATAGAATGCACAATATATTATATCAAATAGTCATCAAAATACATTTAATGGTTGCTGCTATACGTTGTCCTTAAATTTATGATATTTGCTACTTGTAAATTACTACAGTTATATCATTCTTCTGAAGCTTATCCAAACAAAACATGTCGAAGTGATAATTTTTTGCACTAAATATATGGTAACATACTCTTTAAGATATATATTTGTTCATGGGAGACATGAATTTATATACACAATATCTTAATTGTTGCGCGCACGTTGAATAATTGACATACTTGTGATTGAAGGCCAAGGAACTCGGTACATACGTGCAGAAGAGTGTTTGAAACAAATAAATCAATTACAAATACGTGTTTATTTTCAATGATTTTCAATAATTATTTTAATTTTTTATGCCATTCGTGAAAGTAAAAATTGCAAATAATCTGACTATCTAAATCATAAGGGACATGCTCAAAATTATTTTACTATACTATAGTCTTTTTAAATATTGACCAAAATAATCATATAAGATTTGACCGGGGATACTTTATGTCATTTGCGGCGGTGTAAAAATATGTGAGTTTTTATTCAACCATTAGTGCCCCATAATATAGTATTTCATAAATACATGAAGCAAGGTCAACGTCAGAAATTTGACCCATTTAATGTGAACTGTTAGTAGATATTGCGTTTTTGTTAGTGTTAATGCTTTTAATGTGTTCAGCTAACAGCTGTCAAGATTAAACGATATATCATTTATGAAAAAGTATACAATGGACACTTGATATCTGGTTCAATTACATCGATATTTTTGTTGCTTGCTTATTTGCCAGATTACCTTTGAAGAAAGCCACATAAGATAGTGTTTTTCGTATGATTGACCATTATTGATATCTTCATTTTGTATCATTTCTCTAACATTTGCAGTAGAGAATTCTACGAATTTTAATTGATTTACTTGACATCATTTCTTTTATGTTTAGGCAAGAGGGGGGACTTTTATTTGTTTCAAGTGTTACAACAGAGGAAAAGGTTAAATGCCAATTTTGTTTAATTTATAAATAAACGCATTTCTGATCATCTCATTACAAATCTGTAGAGATTTATCGCAAATGTAAAACTCATAACTTGCAATTAGGCAGTGATCTATTACACAAGGCTCGTTTTTTAAAACACAATGAATGTGCAAGTTCATAACAAATGCAAAACACATATATTGTCCGGTTTAAATATTCATTCTTGTCAATTGTTATTTTTGAATATGCAAAACATATTACATGGAAAAGGAATGATTAAAATGTGTAAGTAAAAACATTAACGATAGAAGTCCAGGCATTTGTACCTTTCTTGTTAATCGAGTTTTACGAACTTTAACATGATAAGGACGGTATTTACTGTATAAAGTTAATGCCGTTTATACCCCACCGAGTTTTGTTTATTACTAACACATAAGGCTTTAATAATATATTTTATCACGAATACTTAACAGAAATATTCTTTGTACATTTATACAAAATCAGGACAATAACAGTGGCCATAACTCCGTGTTAAATAGTATTATCTGGACATGCCAATAAGATGCAAAATTCCAAAAAAAGTTTTGGTGCAAAGAAATACCAATATTGCTGTATATGCATACTTATACATAACTAATCAAGGGTCATATCTCTCTGTTTTGAACAAGGCAATGATATGCGCATTTCCTCTAGGTATTTCCCATAAAGTTTAATTGAATTTCAGCCCGTTGTTTGCTGAGAATATCGCGAAAAAGCGACTATTGCTCTATATGCATACTGCATAAATAATCAAGGGCCATAACTCTGTGTTGAAGCGTCTGGCAGGGACTAGATGACTATATGCTCAACTCATCTTGGTATTGATGGTTCCCATAAAGTTTTTTGAATTTGTGCTAGTAGTTGCAGAGAATATGCACGGAAACGGCTATTGCTTTATAATGCATACTGCATAACTATTTAATGTCATAAAACTGTGTTGAAGGGTCGGACCCGGAACAAGACAGCAATATACGCATCTCCTCTTGGTATTGATGGTTCTCATCAAGTTTGAAATCCCGCCATTTAGTTTCAGAGAACTAGCGAAAGAAACGAAATTCAGAAAACAGAAGGATGGATGGACGGACGGTAATAATACCCCACTCCAATTTCACCGGGCGGAGATTAAAATAGTTAAACAGTAACCTTAATATCAAGGGAAATCTGCGTGTCATGGTTCCCAATTAAAGTAATGTCAGCGACTTATCGAGATAACAGGAACAACATGTTTATTTAAATCAAAGCACCGTATAAATATAATTAAGAAAGCGCAACTTATCCTAAGGGTAGTTGAAATATTCATATAGCATATGAGGATTACTTGAACCGCCCATCAGAAAAATATTAAAATTAAAGAACCAAAAAATACCACACATGAACATAACTTTCATGAACAAATTATTCATCATAAATAATCTGAATTATAACCCGATACTTTGAATGGATAATTTAGTAGACCTTAAATAAAATGTGGGCATTTCTTTCACAAGTTTACTATGATAAAATTGCATCGTATTGATTACTTTATTTATCTTAATTCTAAACATACGTTACTAATCAATGATATAAACAGGGCGACGTTGCTTAATTACGAAATATGAAACATGGCATTTATTTAAGATTAAAAACAGTTTAAGAATGTGCTGGGGTAATTGAAGATGTTACAAAATTCCATGTCTTATCACAGTGAGAAATTGATTTCCAATTATTGACTCTTCATTTCCAGAATTGTTTTAGATGCGCTTAAACTGTTTTTTGTTTTTTTTTGCATCTGATCTTATTGGCATCATATATTTTTATTAGATCATTTATTAGATGTCTTAACCTCTTTAAAAGGATATTTACTAGACCAGTTAATGAGGGTGTTTTTTCACTATAAAAGAATAACACAATGAAATGTAAATTCTGTTTATTAAGTGAATGGATAAACACACATGTTAAAATATAACCACAAAGAAATTGGTACTTCTTAAAGATATTCAGTCTAAATTTTTGAATTTACGACTAAACTATTAAGTTGCCAATATAAAAGTATATATCTGTTTATAGATTGCTCGTCGGGATTTTAATTATTTTTGTTACTGTATCATTCAATAAAACCATGAAATCAGATTAAAATATGTTATAATACATTGTGATCAAAAAATCTTTGTATTACGGGCATAATATCGACAGATATCAATCAAAGCTATATTTTTTAAGTTAAGCGTTTAAGATAATATTTGATTTACATGATATAAGTATTTTGATGTATAAAATAATTACAAATTGATCATATATAAATGCAAGTTTCCGTACAAACTGTTACTGTAACATGCACCTATGGGAGACACTTTTGTTTCCTGTAAAGAGAAAATAATCAAGAATTCAATTGATCACGTTTTTCCACATACAATGTGAAATTATGCATTTTATTGAAAAAAGTGTTATATTTATCTAAATTTTCGGAAATACGGATACTTATGAACAAGGTATCAAGAAACAATATAGTAATATTTCATTAATATTAAAAACTCAAGGGGTAAGGGGTATTTCAGTGTGTGTCTTGAATCAATAAAAAAGAACGTAAAAAAATCTACAGTAACTATGAATATTTTTTTTCTATCAATCTTTTTCATTCAATATAGAAACTACTTACTAATACGAGTTTATAGCATCGATTTAAATGTCGTAAAACAAGCAAGCAAAAGTGGAAATACTCCAATTTTGAATGTATTACCTGAAAATATATTATAAAATAAGCGTATTTTATTCAAATTATTCTTTAATGTTTTACAATTATAAATAATCCAATACTTTTTTTCAACATTATATGCTAATAGTATTATATAGTTATAATAAAATGTAAAAAATAGCGACACTCCTAATGCGTTATTTCGCTTTGGTGACGAAACGATAAAAAGTTGGCAACGTTTCACCATACAATACAAATCACTTGATTTAAGCTTTTTATCATGTTAACAGATTATGATAAAGATACAAAGCGCACAAAAATGCAATGTCTATGTATATTGAAATGAAAGTTTTTACACAATACTATTTGATTTGGTCATTCATTTATACGCACATTAAGCGTGGGCAATTATTAAATGTGTTTTTAAATGCTGCAATAATGCATTTAGAACATGTACGGAACTATCGCAGTAGTGAAATTTTTATTCGAAAAAGCTATCAAAATGTAAACAAAGCAAAGTGGTTATTTGACTGCCAAGAGTTAAGTTTCTGTTATTTTCAATTCAAAGAATTCAGTGGATGCATCCATTACTTTTTGAGCAAAAAAGTAACTAAACATATTGTGCAAAGTTATGGTATTTAGGTACATAACTCAATAAAATGCAATCATATATATAAATTTAGATTGAATGTTCTAGCTTTACGTTGCGTCGAAATATGAAGTTTTTACGCACAGACGTACTTTATTGCTTTCTTTAATCTTTATGTGGCATCTTGTCACATACAACAGTAAAAAAATAGTCAAAATGACTTCCATCTATTTCAGCAAAAGTGTGTGAAACTTAAAATTCATTGTGTTTTCCCGGACAGACGGACGGAGGAAAGCACGAGTAGCGTCAGATATATATCTCTTTGTCTATCTGGGAGAATAAAAATATTCTGTATGAAAGAGAGAGTACGTTTTACAAACTAAATAAGTCTTAAAACTAAAAACACTTACTGGAGCTAAATATGCATAGGCTTGCCTCAAAATGGAAACCTTTGTTGCATTTGCATTTCTTTTGTGTTTGGTCACACGAAGCATTCTCAATATCTTTACACTGCTTACCATCTACAGTGCAAGCCGTATCGGTATTTTCTGAAGTTTTTTTTATAAGAAATACTTTAGGAAAAGAAAAACAAGATAATAAAAACTACTTTAGAGTGCATGATAAATAATTATCGCAATTGCAAGGGGCTGGACGTGAAATGGTTGCACACTTGGTTTATGCGAAGAAATTGCTTGAAAACTTGACAAAATGGCTACCGAGTCATGAATATTTACTGCACCGGCACATGGTAAGTGGGTTTGTATTTTCTTTTATAAATTCTTTAATATGCCCATTCCTTCAGTCAATGTTTATGACACACTCGGTTTTGGTTTCAGCTTCCAAGGTTCTGATTTGAAGTTATTGAAGACATAAACTGGTCATGTACATATTTTGCGATTTGACAGAAGACAATTCTGGTCAGATTTCCAACTCATTTATTCACAATTTTAAGTTTTGAAGATCACCAAAAACAAAATGAAATATAATCTGTCAATCTTGTGTAATGTTTAAATTTGCATGTACCAAATAAAGTTTCAATACGCAAAATCATCTTGTTTAAGCGCATTTCGGTCGCAAACTTGCACTTCAAGCATTTCTGGCTGCAAACTTATTCTTCGGATATAAAACTGCCAAAGGATTCAACGAATATCATCTTTATATTACAGATATTTTAGTGACATAAGTTGAAATTTGTGCTATTTATTATGTTTTTAAAAAAGTTTTTTTTTGTATGGCACTTACTTTTTTAGAGATTTATTTCTTAAAATTGTCAATAATCAACATTAATTGGTACGACCACTCCATGCCCCGATTTTGTGCTCACAGATGTAAATAAATGAGCAATCCACTTGTGAAATTTCAAATTATGTACACAACGCGTTTATATCTTCAATAACTTCGGTAAATCAAAAACTAGGAAACCGAATGTGCTACAGACATGGCCTTCAGGAATAGGCATATTTAAGAATTTCAAAATAACATACAAACCAACTTACCTTGAGAAAATATGTACAAATGCTGTCAAAATTGTGACTCGATAGCCATTTTGTCAAGTTTGCAACCAATATACTCGCTTGAACCAAGTATTCATTCACTTCACATCCTGCCCCTTGATAAGATAATATTTCCGGTCCGAAAATGGCATTTATACAGTGAAACTTTATTAAACATAAAACATTAATTAAAGCTGAAAGTAATACTACATAAACACATACTAGGTTTGTTGGTAACAGTCAAAATACCCCGAGGACAATACTGTTACCCGATACTTTATTATTTTTATCTATTTTATCACATTGAACAATTGCTGTAACGATTTGAAAATTTCAACTAAATCTAACTGTTACAAATTGAATAATAACAATAACTCAACTGCCCTTACCTTGCAAATTGTAAGTTATGAGAAGTTATTTTTATTATAAGTAAATTATTATATCTACCAGTCATAAACATACAACAAGCAGTGTTTTATTTAGAAAACAAAACACAAACTTATTTATACGGTTATGATCTCTGAAATCTGATCCTATCCAGAGTGTTCTTTACATGATTTTTGACAATGTGCACTTACGAAAATTGCAATGACATCCTTCATCTGTCTAACACACTTGTCATGTTTTACTGATTAAATTTGTTAAATATTCCTTTGTTGCATGCTAGTTCTGTTCTTGCACAAACTTATTCCAATGCAATACCTTTGCTTCCGATGAAAACAGATATTGATTTTTTAACTGTTCTAATAAAATATATTTTACACGTGAAAAGCACTCTAGATGCATACAACTAATTCATAGGTGTCATAGGCGCCTTCATGGTGAAAATAAAAGGCTTCATCGAGAAAAATGGCAACAATTTATTTCATTTTCTTCAGCAAATTAAACACATAATCAGATTTTATACTGTCATAAAGTACTGTTACCTGTGTTACAGTACGAATATTTGTCACGGGTATCACTTGCATTAACAGTATGAATAACCAGTGACATATTGGACATTTACATTACAATAAGTGAGTGGTAATAGATAAATATACCATTCTATGCATACAAATACCTGCTCTTGAAAAGTGCAACAAACATACTAATACGATGACTGTTGTGAGGATGAAGTGCTTCTGAAAAACAGGAAACAGTGAAATGTTTACATATCGCAGTATTTAATTTCTCAATTGATCACTTACCAATGGTGCTTTTTGGACTCCTCAAAAGGGTATTGCACGGCCGTGCACGTATTTTGATGTAATTTCATTTTGTTCCACAAACATGGTGAACAGAAGCGCTGAATGCTTACGTTTGTTTTCAGATTTTTACATTATATACGCGTCCAGGAAAGCGTGCTTTTTTCACTGTCAACAGTTCTTCTCTAGGGAATGTGATAAATATAATATTTTATTTTTGTAAATTGAATACTTTATTGATTGCACTCGTTGAATAACAACAATATTTAGCTCGACAACGGCTTGCATAATTTGATTTTATTCAGATTGTCCAATAAATATGGTATTATGCCCACATTCACTTAGTATCCTTTATATCAAAGTTTACATTTTAATACTATTTCTTCTTTATTTACAAATAACCTGCTGTAGTTTATTTATCTAAGGAAATTGCAGAGATAATGCAACAAATAAACACATGAAAGGTTTTGCAATACATCATATTGCTATTATCGTAGTATGAAGGCAATAACGTACTGAAGTCTACAACGGATATGTTACCGTTGAAGTTTTAAATGAGATAATCAAAGGTTGATGAGGTCCGCAAGCAATAAAAAACAACATTTTCATCACGCTATAGTTTTTAACACTTATGCATATGATGTTTTGATTTAACAGATTTAACAGTTATTACAAAAAATAATATAATTTTATCATATTTATATGCGCAATACAAAAACTATTCATTCATTTCGAATAAACTGACGTTTAGTTGGGTAATTTTGACAAAAACCCAGCGGTCAGGTCCCCGTCGAGTTACACTTGCGGTGACTTCGAGATTACATATCTTCTTATAACATGAAATGATTGTAATGACAGCTTTATGTCCTTTAAGAGTAATCAATTCCCTACCATTTGGTACCAAGACATTGAAAATTGGTGAAAAAATGTTGGAGTTATGGAATTCATATTAAGATGAGTGCTGAACAATGAGTGGCGAGTTGCATACCTTTACTAAATATTTATATACATGTATCATTTTGTTATTTTTTGTTGGAAATGAAAGTAATTGAATTAAAAGCATATACCAAATATTAAAACATGTTTCAAATGAAAAATACTGCAGTTTACATGGTTTTGAGAGGTAGGAGGGTTGTAGAGTGGGTGAGGGGGGGGGGGTAGTGACCAATCAACGCGATACAAATGCCATAAATAAAATTGATGTACTCTGCCATCAGAATAACATTTAAAACACCCATTTTGGTAGTCTCGAGTTAATCCCCTTTACACTAAGTCCGTAGTAATTGTAGAAAGGAACCATAATACCATTCTAATTGCTATAGAACAAGTGGCAAACATTTATCCATCCGATAATATGTTCATTTACTGGTAATGTTTGTACCAATATTTGTTTACAGAAAAGGGTTTTCGATGTAACGTTACTACCTGCACCTAGTTTCTCAAACATATTCAAAAGGAATGAGATAATTGACAAATGATTTGCATGATATGTCTAAACATTTAATGAAAATGAAATTATTGAATATTTCTACTGTGCGCGAGAAATTCACCAAGAAATGAGACACTTTGCTATGTAATCGATTCTCGTGGCATATCATGTAGTCGCCACCAGGCATAAGATATAAGAAAAAACGTTGTAAACCATTATAATAATTCAATATGAAGCTCTTCTAAGACAACGGTTAAATCTTAAATGTTTTGTTTTCTGAGGTAAAGTGTGTTATATATTTTCACGTTGACCTCTTAACAGTCACATGATACGTAAAAACACTTTAACGATGAACAAAGCCTGAATCATAGTCAGGGTTGTTGAGCTTATTATTTCCATGTGTATAAATAATCAAAGTATTATTGCAACATCTATGTATAAGAGCCCTGATATCAAACTTTAAATGTTAAAGGGATACTCAGGTAAATTTATGAAACACATATCAAAATGATCTTATGTACTCAAATCACGCTAAAATGACAATTTGGAAATTCCCAGCATGATTTCCTTTATAAATTCTATATATTTTGGGTTAAAGCGTAAATACACCCATATATGTTGACAAAAATCTAGACGCCGACAGAATCCCTGAGTAGTTTTTAAACTAGCCATGTGACTTGAACAAACCCTGGATGTTACAATAACAGATATTGTGGATATTGTACCATTCAAACAAGTCTAAGCCATTCATTTCATATGTTCTTTAACGTTTCTAGAGTTCACTGAGACAACTATTGTGAAATCGTAAACACTCTAACCTGACCCACGTGGGCAAAGTTAGGAAACCACCATTTTATTCTTTATAAGCAGAAAATTTTTGTTCCTGTTACTGTCCAGTGTATTAATTTTAAGACGTTTGCAGAATAATGGATGAAAAATTCAAAAAGAAGAAATGAAAAATTTGCCTGTGTTTCCCTTTAATAAAGAACGTACTTCTTACTATGAGTTTAAACGCTTGATTCAACCTTGTTATTTCTTACCTGGAGTAAAAATGATCTATTTAGAAATTTATAATATACTAACTTTGACTTTATATTTTGTGAATTGGTCTACAATTGGCACATTTTCTATAAATATTTCAAAATTGATTGCATGCAAAAACAATAGAAATAAATCATTTGGATAATTATTCTATAAAATGTGTCTTGAAAAATTGTTGATACAGTTCTTAGTGGCTTCATTTACACATTGATATAATGAATAATAATATATCATTCTAGAATGATTTATCATCTGCTGTTCAAAGAATTGTCGTATTTTTTATTATGTATATCTTTTCTATCAGCAACATCTATATAAGATTATTTCATGGTTTGATATTACATATGATACTTTATACTATCAACATAATTTTGTTAGCATTACTATTTTCAATTATAGACCAATTCGCTTGAAAAGTTGAGTGTCCAACTTTATTTGTCATCCAATGAAAACGCTGTATTTCTTAAAGATTATGTGCGTTAATTTTCATAGAAGCACAGAAGTCGATTCTATATCGAATTCCGTTCATAGTTGATTTCTGTTTTTCATAGTACTTCAAAGAACGGCATAGTGACGTAATAAAGTGAGTGATTATGAGGCCAAAAAAAGTTTGACACTAAATATTTTAATATTCATCCGTGCTGTTCTACAGAAATTTGAAGCATTCTCCTGTCGCTATCGCTCCCGTCGAAGTTTCTAATTTCTGTAGAACAGCACGGATGAACACTAACATATACATAAACGCTTTAATTGAGATATATAAATACCCGGAAAAGTGGTTATTCCTCTAAAGCAATAGAAACATCAATAGTATAGGGAAAAAGCACACTCGGTTGAATGGGTGATAATGTAAAGGTGCAACATCTAACACGCACCTAGGAAGCATAAAGCGATTTTACGAACTCCTTATACAAAACAACTTAATGAATAATGAAATTATATATAAAAAAAAAGAAAACTAGTATCAACCGTCAAGTTGCAAGCAATATTATTGAAAAAAAAATGAGACTTACCATTGTTGCGAGTTAAAGTCTGTTAAGCTATCTTAAGATCCCTATTTATGTCTCTCATTATCTTAATTTTCATACGAAACGCTATTATGTCAAATGTCCTTATTTTTAAATAAATAAAATGATAGTACAAGGTCATAGCAACGTGTTTATGTAAAGTCATGAAACAATCAAGTATTTGGTAAGTTATGATATGTGCCGTTTGTTCCTATAAGATTTAACTTTAATTTCCAGTTTCCAAAATATTTGATAGCCTTGTTTTACAAACATTGCATTAGGCTGGTATTAATGTAGAAGTTATAAAAATGTTTTCCAAACGATTGATATCTGTGAAATACATATCGATCATAACTGATTAAAACAATAAATTTCTTCCAAGTGGTTTATCAGAATTAAAAGGATAAAACATCAGTTTGCTTATGTACCGTGAGCAGTTAAGAAATATTTTCATTAGAAAGAGACAAAATAATGTAGTACTAGTATTTCTATCGGCAATATATTTAATTTATTTCTTTTGGAAGATGTTTATGATGTGTAATTCATATAAAATACAAAAGAAAAACAACAAAAAATAAAAAAACAATAAAAAAAACAACAACTCAATGATGATAATTTATCAGTCACTAGAGTTTTTCTTCTTATTTATTAGTTTTCCATCAATTAAAATTCCTTTCCTATTTATTGTATCGTTTTTAAAAAGTCTCATCATAGCTTTGTGTTTAAATTAAAAAAAAAAGATATTTATCTAAGTATGAAAACTGAGGACGCATATTTAACTTACTTTTTTGTAACAACTGGTATGAAACGTGTACGGAGCGCATTATTCGGAAAGCAGTCAAACATTTTAAAATCTTTAACAAATGTTAAATCCAACTCTTAGATATTTGATAATCTTACATTATAAATTTATTTCAAAGAAACAGATTCTATAATAAGGGTTAAACAAGCGCAAATTTATAATGTCCGATAAATGAAATAAAGAATAACCACAATAAATGGTACTAAATTTCGAAAAGAACGCATTATTTTTTACGCATAACTACCAGAAATAGTAATACATTGTGTTATACAAATACGGATATTTAAGCTGATGAATATGATGTGATATGTACAGAAAAAAATATTGATCGAGACGAAAAAGAAAAGAAAGAAATACACGACTGAAAATTTATCAAAATAGAGGATGTAAATAATTCATATTAATAAATCAATAACTAAAAATAAAATAAAAGACGAGTTACTAACCATGATTATGTCTTTTCCCACTCAGGAATCGAAATGTTATCTGAGCGTGATTGCCCGTATTTATGTGTAATGTAGCTTGTGGCTTTGCAAAACAGTCACATGACCGTAGTCGTAAATTTACGTTAACAAACAGTTAGCCTTTTTTATTTGTTTAAACAAATCCAAGAAGCGAGATATGAGCAATTTCTTTAAACGTTTAAATGCAATTATACTAAAACAGCATATTAACAAAATAGTAAATAACAATGCTCATTTATACTATTTTGGCGCCACCTCCTATAAAAATGGTTCAACAAGGGGATGCCAGAGGGGGGATATGCCCCTTCTGTTTGGGTCTTTGAAGGGGACAGTAGCCCCCGCATCGCCAAGAAAGTTTTGGACTTGTGAGGGGGCTAAAATTGCCTCAAGTCTAAAGGTAACGTGTAACCGACGCAGAAAAGCCGTTGACTCTATGTCAATCCATTGATAAGTTACAGCACTTTGAAATCAGTTTTGATGGAAAAAAACAACGCAAAATAGTGATTTTTTTCCAACTTTGTGAAATATTAGAACTAATCTGATATAATGATTTATATGTGTAAACTATGTTTTAGTGTCAATGAAGGCCCGTAATAAACAGAATTTGAACACCATTTTCCTCTGTATAAGTTACATGTTTATTTGTTGAGTGGCAAAAATGGCGTTTGAAGTATGAAACCTTTGAAGATTGTCACTAACAGGCTCAAAAAATTAATCATGTAATTGATAATTCGTAGATTCCTAATTGGTTTAAGAGTCAATTAGTTATAATTTGTTCATATTGTAAAATGTTCCTTGGATTGAAGGCTTGCAAAAGTTATGCACAAACATGCATGATTTGCCAGGTATATTGTTTATATTGTTAATATTAACTTGCATTTAAGTTTTGTGTTGACTATTAACCCAAAAGAAGTAATTGTTTTCTTCTTCTTATTTTTTTGCGGCATAGCAATAAAAGTGTTATATTGGTTTTTTTTTCAGTATTATTATTTGCATTTCTACAATAAATTATGCAAAACATCGTCAAATATGATTACACATGATAAAGATGTCTCCTCATTGCACCTGTGAGTATTTTACTAGATGATTGAAACAATAAAAATTTGTATGGCTATTTTCATAATATCCGTAAGTGTAATCCGAAATGATGATAACCACTAAATTTATTTGCATTGAGCAGTAGCTACGTTTTAAATCATACCAGTCCTACCAAAAGTGCATCATTCTATTTGCTTGTAGTTAAATTTTTATATAATTTTACAAGAAAAATGTTGTAAAAACATGATATAACTCACAGCTTTATATCAATTGGCACTGATGTCGGAATATTTTATTACAAGTATGTTCAAGTTGATACACTCAACCGAACTTAAATGATAGAAAGTTTTATGGACGTTTTCAGCTAACTTTGATAATACTTTGGAAATAGTAATATTACGAGGGTTGTCCCAAAATGTCGTAGACTACATTATTTTCTCTTCAACCTGACGTCATAACTTAATAAAATTTACCAGATATCTTGCTTGGTCATTTGTTAACTTACCTACTTGAAGTCAATAGCCAATATATTAGTTAACGCTTTTTATCAGGGTTTTATATTTAACAGTACAACATACCCGGAGCATGATAAAATATTAGTCTGTGTTGAGAGCATGCTTCTTAAAAACATGCCTTTAACATCCAGCATAATAATAATTATGGAAAATACCTTCCTGTGGAATGACGTCATTCAATTTGACGTCATATCACCAACAGACGTTTATGTAACGTTACTTTGAAAAAAATCTGTAGCATAATATGCAACAGTAGTGCTATTTTGAAAATGCCCAAAATGGCGACGTCAGATGAAAATGCGGCGCAGCGCGATGTCATTGAATACTGTGTTCAGTTGAAGAAGCGTCCAGCGTTTATTGACAACATGGAAAACATTATATTTTATCAAGATTATGCACCTTGCCATAGATCTCAGGAGACACAGCTTGAACTTGATATGATAGGGTTTCAGAGACTTCCATAATTACGCCCTTAGACTTTGCAGTGTTTCCTTAATTGAAATCACAGTTACGAGGTCCCATGTTTGAAAACTTCAGCGAACTCAACCAGAAAACTCTACGAGTGTTCATAACATTAAAGCAGGACTATTTTTTGAAAATGTTAATGATAAATGGGTCGTCCGACACCGACAGTGGATCGAGAAACACGGAGAATACTTTGAAAAACATTTTTAAAAACCTTATAACGTCATAACGTTAATGACGGCGTGCGCCGCGTGTTTATATGTAGCATTCTTTAAATTTTGATAACTTTGTCAACTTCGGAGGTATTTTGATTTTATTTCGCATAGACACACATAAAAGGTGTATTGACTATTCCCTAGGTGGATGACTCTATTGTATTATAATTGATAGAGTAACAGACTTTGTCTACGATATTTTGGGAAAACCCTCGTACATAAACCAGGAAAGCTGTATTAATTTTTTGTCTAGATTTGCATTGATAGAATACACAAATAATAGCAATTACTTTTATATAATTTCAGAAGCTGAAAGGTAAACATGTATTCTTTAAAAGGGAAACAAACAAAAATTTGAAATAAGAACCTGTGAACATTAAGACTACCTTAAAAATTGCAATAAAACATTTTTTTTTAAAAGTTGCTAATTACGTGACGAATGCATATTTTCACGGGACAATGACCTCAAAATAATCGTGTGCTTGTTTTTTTAATGGCGTATGCTTAAGTTACAATGAAACAAATATTGCAGAACAAAAACTGTATGATAAATTTTGATGAATTAAATAAAACAGTTGACAATACATTAAGATAGTTAGCAGGCATCCAAACAGATTGGTATCTATATTAGGCTGATTTTTTTTACTTTTTCATTGAATATCATTTAAAAATATCTGTCATAAATACATAAATGTAAAAAATAGTTGAATAATAAGCCATTAAAATATGGTTTTGCGTCTGAATAATTCCTTATCTTTGACGAAGAGTTAAAATAAATCATAGTGATTAAGATAAAATTAAGTGGCTTAGTGTAAAACTGGCTCCGAGGGTATGAGAAGGGACCGATGCAATCTTAAGGAAACGGTTAATATTACAGTTTCATCATTTTCCCTTTCTCTAATAACAGCAATTAAGTTTTAATACTTAATATATTTTCCTTTACTTCATTTTGACAAGAAAATTCTTAAATTAAATGATTAACGCATCATACACAGCCTATAGGCATATCCTTTCCACTGAGAACAAAAGGTCATCTTCACAGGTTGCTTCATGCACAACTGGTATTGAGCTTTCTGCAATGCCAAAGTGTTAATCATGACATAAATTTAGTAAATTGTCAACGTTGCTTTAACAATAAGATTTATGAATTGATAAACATTTTCAAGATATGAAAAACTTTACGCAAATTCTGAACAAAACAACTCGACCAATGATAGTAAGTTGAAAAATATTGTACGATAGAAATTCAACATATACAAAAGAAATGTGCTTAAGAAAATTTAAAGACGAACATCAGAGACATGAAACACGAGTAAAGGAATGCATTCGAGAAAACAGAAATTAAGTTTATATGACATTATATATTAATACTCGACTATTTAAGGTTTTATTTAAAAATAATGCACACATAAAACCAAGATAGGTATCTGAAATGACCGTCAATCCTTTTACTTACTTGCTGTTTTTACGTAACATCATGTCGATAATAAATGAAATATAAATTTAATATTAAGCTTAGCAGAAATACAAAACCATAACTACTTGTTTGTTCTTACGTTGGTAGTGTAACCATTGACAATTTATGATAAAACGACATTCCTTAATATTCCTTTAGAGAACCTTGTAAACTCAGTCAGCATTAGCAAGAAAGTACCAATGCTGATCATCATCGCTGTAAGTAATATAATTATTGATAAAGGTATTTGTAACATAAGACTCAACTATAATAAACGAACATATCAACTGTTGCCAATAGAAATTCTAATGTTGTAGAGTAGTCTCTTCATTATATCATACCACTGTATTCATACATATATATTATCATACTTTTATATAAATGTTTTTCAATACTAAATTAAGTGAATTCATTACCTGATACGGTAATGAATAATATGACACAATAATTATGTCTGATTAATAAAGAAACATAGTTCGTAGTTCTGTTCGTGACAAATGCAATAAAAAAGTTATGTTAAAATAGTTTACTGAAGTTCAAAATTTATTCTATTTAGTTCGAAATACTAAACTAAATACTTATTTTATATATCAAACTTCTTTAAACGGATAGTTTTTTTACTATTATGGAGCGATTTATGTCTTTAGCATTAAAGACTGAAAAAACATGTTAATTATTTTAGTAAATTGAATTTTAAGAAATGTGTTGCTCAGTGACAATATATTGTTATTTCAAACCTGTAATACAGTAAAGAAGCGTCCGTTCCTTATTTGAAAAAAAAAAAAAAAAAAAAAAAAAAAAAAAACCTTTCAAGTCCTGGTACTTAGATCAAAATAAAGATTTAGAACAGAATAATCATTGATTTCTTTTCAATGACAAATAAAAATTATTTAATTTATTTTTCTCATCACAATTTGTTGACATGTTTTTATTTTATTCATACCGGAAAAAAGTTAAAATCATATGAAAACAATGCATTCTCAAACGCAATATCAATCTTGCAGTACACTATTTTAAAATCATTACACACGTTTACTGATTGTATTGCAGAACATGCAACGTCACATTCAAAGATCATTTTACTTACCGCCAAGAAATTAGAAGCATCTTAAATGGTTTTGGAATATCACTCAACATAAACTGGCACGATCACATGAAATGAAAACCTAGCACGAGAGAATAAATTACAAAAAAGAAATAATAAAAGAAAAGAGATTATAGAGTGATTTACCAGGTATCATATATTTTATTACAATTTATTTGCAGTGGCCATAAGGTCGCTGCTGGCACATGAGGGTAATCAAAGGTAGTCGAGCATCCTGAACAAATACTTTTAAAGCTGTTTAAATATTTGTATTCAAATGATTTATATTT